GTTGTTGTTGTTGTATTATTGTTATTTATAATTTGTACAATTAACCTCCCTGTGGTTCGACCCCGATCTTGCCGGGTTATTTATTACTTCAACACTCCTGCACTTGGGAGAAGACATCAATGTTTTAATCGTGTCATTGTTATTTTTACTATTATTTATAATTTATATAGTTAACCTCCCTTTGGTTGGATTCTAGTTTTGCTGGGGTATTTATTACTTTAACACTCTTGCACTTGGAAGAAAACATCAATCTTTTGATTGTGTCAGAATACATATACAATTTGGCATCAGACATTGTTTTATATTGATAGAAATACCAACAAACTATATATTACATATGGGTATATCGATAAATTATGTCTATTAGTATATTTCAGTTACTATGAGAATTGTTTCCCTTCTATCTAGCACTGTTCAGTGTGTTTATCATATATAGGTATACCAATAAAATATGTTCGTTGGTATATTCTAGTGACTACGGAAATTATTCACTTCTTAATGCCCTAATAATTAATGTTTTTTTGACTATTCACTTTTTCCCTAATGGCATCACTAATAGAATGAAAAGATATCGGCAATATTAGAGGGTTTTCTAAAGATTTTCATGCAAGTTAAAAATTTTCATTTGACTTTTAAACGGAATCACAAAAAATATTAAAAATAATAATATTTAATTTTTTATCTATGATTTCGTTAGTAAAAAGTGCCCAGATACCAATACTATTAAATTTCAATTTAAGTTTACAAATGGGATCATCGATTGAGATATTAAAAATATTAATATTTAATATTTTATCAATAATTTTGTTGGTAAAACTAAGACAGAATCAATACAGACAGGGCTTCGTCTTCTTCTTTCTTCTTCTCTCACAAAGTGATTTCTCTCTCTTTCTCAGCCGAAATCAAGCATTCTCTTCTCTTCTCATCCTCATGTATGTTTTTTTCTTCTTATTTTTCTTATTTTTTAGATTTACTAACAATCTCTTTTCTTCTCATTTGGTTTTTTATCATTTGAAATTAAGCATATCATTAAGGTAAGAATTTTTCATTCCTTTTTCTTCCTTTTGTGTTTTTTTTTTTGCATAAATTTTGCTTTTTTGTCATTATTTTTGTTCAATTTTTTGTTTTTAATAATTTTATGAATTAATATATCTGTTGAATTTTAGTTGTTAATGAAATAATTTTTGCATTATTTTGTTGAATTTTAGTTATCTTTTTTTTTGCTCAATTTCAATTAAATGTGTAGGATTAATTTTAATTATTATTTTGTATTTATTCCATTAAAAAAAATTAAATTTAGGATTAAAAATATTATCACTTAGAAATAATTGTGTTGAATTTTAGTTGTTATTGTAATAATTTTTGCATTATTTTGTTGAATTTTAGTTATATTGTTTTATTTGTTGTTCAATTTCAATTAAATGTGTGAGATTAATTGTAATTATTATTTTTTATTTATTCAATTTAGAAAAAAAATTAGGATTAAAAATATTATCATTTAGAAATAATTGTGTTGAATTTTAGTTGTTATTGTAATAATTGTTACATTATTTTTTTGAATTTGCTGTTCAATTTCAATTAAATGTGTAGGATTAATTTTAATTATTATATTTGTATTTTATTCCATTTAGAAAAAAATTTAAATTTAGGATTAAAAATGTTATCACTTAGAAATAATTGTGTTAAATTTTAGTTGTTATTGTAATAATTTTGCATTATTGTTTTGAATTTATTTGTTTTTTTTTTCAATTTCATTTAATATTTGCTGCATTATTGTTTTGAATTTATTTGTTTTTGTTTTCAATTTTTTTTCAATTTCATTTAATATTTGGAAACTTAGCATATATATATTTTTTTGTAAATTTAGGACTAAAAATATTATAATGTATAAAATTGAATTATGCTAAATTATTAAAAGAAATTGCATAAAATCAACTGGTTCGTAATATATGTGTTGTGTATTTTCAAATTTAAAAATTTTAGGTATTCTTTCATGTAGAGGAAGTGCTGTTAAGTTTTTTTTTTAAATAAGAATCATTTAATTTTTTATTCACCAACTTATATAAATGCCTAGGGAAAAGTTTATTGTAATTATAAAAACATGATTGATGCTAGTTCTTCTAGGTGCAATGCTAACAACTATAAGTCATTATCTTGGTCTGATGATCCAAGTTATGAGTTTGACAAATAAACTTTGGTTGTTTTGTATATTCGTTTTTTAATTGATTTTTTCAATCAAATTGCTTTTCATGAGATTATTTTTGTCTTATAATTTGAGTTACAGGTTCTGGTTAATTCATATCGCTTTTTTAAGTTATTTTTTATTTTTTTTTTAATTTCATCCTTCAACATTTGTTTTATTGAGAAGTATATTTTATAATTTATTTTAATATACTTTTTATGGTGTTTTCATATTCTTATAACTCGGGTCTTGGATTTGATATATTAATTCGGGTTGACCCAAGTCAATCCAATATGTTATTATCATAATATTAAATGTCATCTTGATTTTTTTAATAAAACTATATTTTTATGAGTTGTATGGATTACTTTTGAACCTGCATATTCAACCAGGTTATATCAGGTTAACTGTCATATAATTTAATTTTTTTTACTAGAAAAATAAACATTAACAATATCTGAACAATTTTTTATGTTTAGCATAGCACAAGTTAATAATTTTGGTTTTAACTAATATGAAAACTTTCTATTTATTTTTTAAATGCAAACAATGTTCCCTGCTTAGCCCGAGCATGTGATCTTTTTTTATTATTATTATTTATATGAACAATCATTCTATGCTTAGCTAGAATATGTGATTTTTTTTTTTATTTATATGAATAATCATTCACTCATTTTAAAGCATGCTTGTTTTTATGTTTTAAAAGTATTTTAAAAAAAATTGAATTTTTTTATTTACTTCAAATTAATGTTTTATGGTATTTTTAGATTATTTAATGTGTTAATATCAAAAATAATTTTTTAAAAATCAAAATTATATTGTTTTAATAATTTTCAAATAAAAAATATTTTGAAAATTATTATATTAAAATTTTGAATGCTTTTTCAATTCATGCTTTAAACTTCGTTATTAGTATATTTGGTATTGTGATGGTTTTTGTGATTGTGATTTGAAAAAACTTATTTTATAAAAAGTACTTTTGATTAAGGTTGATTTGATATTTATATATGTTTGGTTAAAGATGTGGTTAAAATTGAGATTGAATAGAAAATAATTTAATATATTTAGTTAAAAATGCTTTTCAAATTGAAGTTATAAAATAACATATATATATATATTGATAATTTTTAATTTAAATATTATAGATTTATCTACTGTTATTATATCATGAAATAAATAATATTGTACATAAAATATTTTTTATTGTTTCATTAAATCATCTATAATTTTATCACGTACGAAATCTAACCGATGATAACTATAATTTTTATAGTTTCTTAAGCGTGCAACAATATCAGGTAAAATATCATAAATAACAAAATTGAGACTGCGATGAAATTTTATAAATATTACATCATTATATGATTTTCTTTAAATTTATGTAGTATTAAGCGTGCAACAATATCAGGTAAAATATCATAAGTAACAAAATTGGGACTGCGATTAAATTTTATAAATATTACATCATTATATGATTTTCTTTAAATTTATGTAGTATTATCATTAATAATATTAAATATTTTTTTAATAACATATAATTAAAAATTAAAATTAAAATTAAAATTAAAATTTTTTTACTAGATCAAACTCGGTTAAATATATTTAAGTTTTGGTCGAACCTGACTCGATCATGAATAATAAAATCATTCTCTATTATTTATATGTGTAATAAAGAATAACTTTTTATTGTTTATTTTGCAAAAGTGAAAAAAGTGGAGAGTGAAACCCTCCATTGCAGACCGCAGGAGAAGACGAGAAGCAACTCTTAGAGCCTGTTTGGAAGTTTGGTTACTGTTGTTTTTCAATTAGCTTTTCGTGTCAAAATATATGCCTTACTGTTGTTTTTCAATTAGCTTTTCGTGCCAAAATATATGCCAATGATATTTTTTTATTTTTTAAAAATTATTTTTGACATCAGCACATCAAAATGATTTGAAAACACTAAAAATATATTAATTTGAAGTTAATAAAAAAATAAAAAAAATTTCAAATTTTTTCAAAAATGCTTTTGAAACACAGAAACAAACAGGTCTTTAGTTATTTTTGGCAAATCCATGGTTTCAACATAATTTTTTATGAATGTCACAAACAATAAATGAAATTTTATTAATAATCAAATAGGTTGAAAGTGTGATTTGTTTTAAAAGCAAAAGTTACCTTATAAACAAACACTATTGTAGTGTGATTGAAAATCATCATCAACCGTTAATGTGCTTCTTAAAAGAGATTTGAACGATAAAAGAATATATGGGTTCATTTGGTAACTAAAACGTGCAAAAGGCAACTTCCAATTCTCCATAGCTTTTCAACTAGTAGAAATTCAAAACCAGAGAGAGAGAGAGAGATCACCCTTACAAGAAAAAAACAAATTCATAAAATCATATGTATTAAATGACCTATTTAGTCCACTGTCTTGTTTTCTCTGGTGTTCTTATCATAAAATCACATAGAGAAAGAAAGAAAGGAATTGTAGTCAACCTATTCCAAAGCCTTGACTGGAGCGATGTTTATACAACCGAGTCTCCCACACTGCTCCCCTCTGCTCGTCACTGACTCGAAACCTCCTCACTGAATCTGAAATGATCTGCTAAGATCCCCAAATCCTCCACCACCAACCTTTCGCTCCTCTGCTTCACCAAAATGCCCACCACCACCACCCCCCTCCTCCTCCTCCTCCTCCTCTTCCTCCTCCTCACCACCACAACTCCCTCCCCAATCCCAGGCCTAGACTCTTTCCTCTCACACCAATCATCTCTAGATCCTCTTTCCACCAACGATTCCTTCCCCTCCCTCCCTCCCTCCCTCAAAAAATCCCTCTCGCTCTCTTCCCCTCCCCCCCACATCCCTTCCTTAATCTCCTCCCTCCTTTCCCTCACTGTCCAACTTTCGCTCAACATCCGTCTCGTCGGCCCCTCCTTCCCCTCCTCCTCCTCCTCCCTCCTCTATTCCTTCCTCTCGACCGCCCACATCGCCGATCGCTTCCACGTCATCACCACCGACCCCATCCCTTCCCAAAACTCCCACCATCTTTCCATCAAGCACTCCCCCCACCTTGACATTTCCCACGCGAGCTCCACCCTCTCATCTCGCCTTGCCGAGGCCCTTAAATCTGCAGTTTCCGAGACAACATCTTCCCTCCGAACCCCTCTCCTTTCCATCCCTTACGACACAGTAGACCGGATAATCAAGCAAGAATTTGATAGAGAAAAGCCTGTGCATGGGGTTTATGTTTATTTGATTAATTTGGGTTCGCAACCCAAGAACTATGCCTATAGTTATTCGGCTGGAGACTCCTCTCCTGGCCTCACTAAATGTTTAGGAACTATTTGGACTGGTAAAGAGAGGTATCTTTGGATTGATCTATCTGCTGGCCCAGTTGATTATGGCCCGGCTTTATCTGGAGATGGGGTTTTGCCTAGAGGTGAATTTCACCCTCTTGCGGCAATGCATGGGCGACCAAAGTCGCAAAAGGCGTTGTTAGCGGACTTGGCGTCGTTGATTTGGAGGGCTTATCAGGTATTACTTGTGCCCTCTTTGAGAATTCCTGTGCATTTTGAGAATTCTTTGATAGTTGAGTTTATACATATTTATGGGTCTGAAAGTGCTAAGGATTTGAGTGGGTTTGATTGGAAGGAGATTGAGAGGACGTTTATGGATGAGGCTAATGAAGGTGGGTTGTTGTTGAGGAATCAGAATTTGGCGTTTAGGAATTATGAAGTGAATTATGATCAGTGTCCCATTTGTGCGTTTGCGATTTCCAGGTCAATTAATTCCTATACTTCGAGGTTCTTGTTTGAAAATTTTACTTTAATTGTGAGTGAGTATTTGGATTCGAAGAGATTGCATCAGATATTATCTGATTCCGCTGAGGAGTTTAGGAGGATTGCAGGCATCCCTGAGGAGGATTTCAGTAGAGTGCTGCCTGTTTATGTGTTTGATTTGGATTACAATATGATGTTGATGCTTGATCGGTATCATCAATCTGTTGCGTTTAGGGATATGATTATTGCAGTGAGGACAAAGACTACACAGACTGTGAGTGATTATAGTTGCAATGGTCGTCACGTGTTTACGCATACTAGAATGCTTGAGAGACCACTTGTTGGTTCTATTCTACAGAGTATGTGGGGAGTGTCACCAACCCATTTGTCATGGAGTCCAAGGCATAATAATACTTTGGTGGATTATACATGGAGTGTTGGACAAACTCCATTTGGGCCTTTCTCAGAGATTTCATCTTTGTCATTTGTGCAGAAAGATTCAGCTCGTAGAAATGTGCTGTTGACGTTGTTAAATTACAGTGTAACTAGCGTTGTTGATGTTCTTGAATCAATTGCGGCACATGGTGGGGACAGGAATCTCCTAAAACAGAATCGGCATATTGAGTTTGTTCAGAGATGGAACCTGTTCAAGTACAAGCTGGACAAAGCAATTTCTGCAATATCACATTTGGACTTTGACATGGCTTTATATTATCTGCGGTCCTCTGACCATGATATGTATGCCATTCACTCTCTGGTCTATCATGCATCCCAGGAATTGGAGGCATCACTTGTTTGTTTTAAGGACCCACCATTTCCATGGGGTTCAATGTCTATGTCCGCTTTAGGGGTCTTTGCTCTCATTTATGTTTATTCTAAAAGAGAGAGACTTTTTAGAAACAAAAGAAAGCAGTTTTGAAGCTATTTAGAGGAATAGAATTCTGTATCATGTGAACACAATACAACAAACCTTCTTCTGTGAGGGGTACATCTGGAGGTTGGAAATTAATGTGCAGTTTTCTTGACATGCTTACTTCAGTTGAAGCTGATATATTGCCATGTTGTCCAGCTTCCATTGTTTGCTGTAATTTCGCTACTTTTCTGGCTAAATGCTTGTTTTTCACCTTTGGCTGCTTCCTTGATCCCATCGTTTGTTTTTTTTTTTTGGTACATTACTGTCAAGGAAAATGGAACCATCTGTGCACTTGAAAGTTAGGGGAGTTGTAGCTGTTCTGAAAGCTATATGTATTTCGTTTCATGCCTTGTGATTGAACTGGTTTTGGAAGTAACAGATAGCTTCTGATGGTTATAACAATTCGGGATTAAGGCACAATTTGTAGATCCAGTCATGCTTCTGGGCTACTCATTTTTTAAATTATTGAAAAATTAAAGCCATGCTGTCATAAAGGTCCTATTAATTTCAATATTTTCTAAGAAAAGTCCAAATAGTAATTGCCATGATAAAGGTTAATGAGTTCTTAGAAGCTCAATTGACTTCATGGTTCGCCGGGGCCATTTCATGGAGATTCTGAGTTTGTTGTAAAGGATTATTTAGTATTTGTCACTTCATCTGCTTTACTTTTTGATGTCCTTCTAACCAGGTGTCAACTACTGAGTGTCTCATTATCATCGGCCTCAAATTTGTGCTTTACTTGGATTGTGCCACTTTTCCTGTTAAATTTCTTGGTAACTCTATTTAAGTGCTTCGTAGTCCGGTAAATGCAGTATGGACAGAAAGGGAGTTAAAGAGTAGGCATTAATATATACATCTTAGTGAAATGCAGTTGCATTTGAGAAAATCAAGTTTTGTGGTTTATACCCAACTTTCGTGAAATGCAATTAGGAAATAATTCAATGTTGAATAGAGAACATGATGCACATTCATTTGCAATGATTTGATGCAAGAATCTTGTGTTCAGGCTATTTGGAGAAGGCAATTGAGTTATTTCAAAGTTGAAATTGGTGTTTGCAGAATGATGGGTGTTATTAATGCCAGTTATATGGGGTGGAGGGTAACTTTAGGAGCTTGTATGACTTTTCTGTTTGTTTTCGTGTTTTGAAAGTTTTTTTTTTTTAAATTAATTTTTTTTAAACTAATATTTTTTTAGTGTTTTTAGATTTTTGTTTTTGTGTTTTGAAAACTTTTTTGAAAAAAATTAAATTTTATTTATTTTAAATTAATATTTTTTTAGTATTTTCAGATTTTTTTATGTGATAATGTTAAAATTAATTTTTTAAAAATAAATATATATATATATATATATATTTTAAAATAAAAAATATTTTAAAAAATAATCACTATTATATCTCCAATCATATCTCCACCAATCATGTTAATGTTATATGTTATTTATGTTTTTCAACAGGGGTCTCAGGAATTTGGAACTGCGGTTTGGGTGCTAGGTTTCTAAATTTATTCTCTCCCCTAGTATTTGTTGTCTTAGGAAGCAAAGGGGTTACAGGTTTAATTAGTCTTTATTTATGACTGGATCATTAGAATTCTGTCTGACCTTTAAAAGTGAATGAGAAATTTTGGGTGGCCTGCTACGTGGTGCAATACCCTTTCAGGGGTTTTATTCGAATCCTGCGAAGGAGGGTAGGGCTTTGTTGAAGTAAATCCTGGATAATTATCATACCTTGTCTTACTTCTACGTAGGAGGACAACCTTTCAGCGATGGTGAGCTAGGGCTATAGCCTAGTAATTAGGTACTGATGTTCACAGAATTTAAGACTATACAGTAAAGATTCAAATATATTTTGTTAATTAGGTACTGATGTTCATAGAATTTAAGACTATACAGTAAATATTCAAATAAATTTTGGGTCTTAAAAAGATAATAATCTAAAGTTATTTTAGCTTCTACCTCGCGGGATTCAAGGATATTTGATCTTGTATCATGCTTAATTAATATTTAAAAATATATTTTTATTAAAATTTTATATTATCATTTTATACTTAAAATATTAATAACTTTTTAACTAAAATATATTTTATAATAACAAGTCTGATAATATAAGATATTTTTAATTTATGATAAATATTTATTTTAAATGCAGGTCTTCTCATCTGGTAAATGTTTATTTTAAATGCAGGCCTTCTCATTATTTAAAGGATTGATTATTGTAATTAACCACCGGACATGAAAGGACAAAAAAAAAAAAACTAAGTTTAGAAAAGAGATATCGATTTAATTTAAATTCGAACACTGTTCAATCATTGAGTTATATTTAGAGTTATAGATCTTAAATTTTAGATTGGTTTATGTGGCTAGAAAGATAAAAAATAGATCTATAACTTTTATTAGTATGAAAAGACTCAAATTTGTCGTTTTTGAGTTCAAAGTTTGATCCCAAAAGAGAAGTCAAAATCTGTCCTGTAATCTAGCCCAAACACTGCTCAAAGTTTTACCCATAACTAGAGTTTTAGAAGGCTAAATTATGTGAAATTTGGTGTCTGGAAGAAAAAGACAATTTCCAACAACTTTCATGAAGAAGACTCGCTCAAATTCTGATGGTAGAAATGATATTTTATCTAAACAAGAGCTTGAGGGCTATCCACCACATCCACTAGCAGCACTGCTCATTATTTTAGATATATCTCGAGCTATAGTACTCCAAATGCTTTGAAATTTGGTGGGTAAAAGGAAAAGATAATTTTCAACAACTTTAATGAGAAACACTTTGTCAAATTCTGATTGCATCAATGTCATTTCATCCAGCTAAAATGCTTGAGTGTTGCTGTCCACTAAGTCCATTAAATCAGTAGTTGGTCACTACATCAATTATTAATTACTAAATGAATAGTTCTGAATTTTAGCTTATAAAAGAAGGTATTTTTCATTCATTTAGACATCTTATTTTTCATATCAAGATCATGTTCTTGCTCTCTCTCTTTATATTTTTGTAATTCATAAATTTTGCTTTCATTAATTTGTTGTTCATGCTTTTCATTTTCTTTACTATACTTAGTTAATTTATATCATATTTATGTTCTTATATTATTTATTTATGTTTTTCTTCTTCATAATATCTAGTTAAGTTAATTATGTCAAGGTAAAAAGGTTTCACTAATGGTGTTAAGATAAATATAATATAAACTCAATATGAACTTCAATGTTTATATTCTAAACAACTTCCTATTAACATGTCTTATTATTTTTTTTCTTATTAATTCTTAATACCTTACTTATTAAATGGTTAATTTAGATTTATTATTATTATTATTATTTATAATTTATATAGTTAATTTTCTTGTGGTTCGACCCCGATATTATCGGGTTATTTATTACTTTGACACTCTTGCACTTGGGATAAGACATCAATTCTTTGATCATGTCAAGTTTTTGGTGCCGTTATTGGGGTGGTAAATTCTTGTATAAATTATAATATTTATTTTATTTTCACTTTTTACTTTTCTTATATCTAACTTTTGTTTCTTTTCTTTTGTTTTCTTCTTCCTTTTATTTTCTTTCTACATGTGCATGAGAGTTTGATCACGTACATTAAGTGATAGACTTTGTAGGATATCCTCATCATTTTCAAAAAAAAAATAGCCGAAGAAGATAACCAATCACTTTATAATGAGAATAATGAGAATCCTATAAAAACAAGTGCACCCTCATGTATAATTTTTCGTCCTGATACATCTCACTTTAATTTTAAGCCAAGCATTATTCAACTTTTACTTTTTTTTCATGGTTTAGATCTAGAAAATTCATAAATGCATTTGAGAGAATTTAAAAAAGTCTGTAACACCTATAATAACTTAAATTATAGTATGAACACCATGAGATTAAAGCTTTTTTCTTTTTCATTAAAAGATAAAGCTAAAACATTGCTACAAAATCTTAGGTCAAGATACATTCATGCTTTGGATGAAATGCAATAACAATTTTAAAAGAAGTTTTTTTCATTTCACAGAGCAAACTCTTTCAAAAAACAAACCTCTACTTTCACTCAAAAACCAGAAGAATAAAGCAAAATTTGTGAAACAAATGAACATGCAACCAATGATTGTCCAACTTTGCTTTCTTTCAAAGAATGCTCCATGAACAAACTCATGCTTTAAATAGTTTTCAAATGCCCAATCATAACCTATATTCGCAAATATACAATCCTGGTTGGAGAAATCACCCAAATTTCAGTTGGAAGAGTGGTAAGAATAATGTACAAACTTCACAACCATCGTTTCAAGCATACTATAATTTCCAAAATTATCATAGATATGTACCTCCTTATGCTCCACCTCCTAGAAGAAATCTTGAGGAAATATTATATGCATTCATTGAAAAGTAGGAGACAATCAACACTCTAAATGCTCAAACCATAGTAGATCTAAAAGATGCTCTTGCAAAATTCACATCTACTCTTAGTTTTCAAGAGAAAGGTAAGTTTTCATCTCAACCACAAAAAAATCCAAATAGTTTCGGAAGCCATCACATGGATTAAATCAAATCAGTCATCAGTTTTCGTAGTGATAAGGTTATTGAAAAACCCACTATTGAACCTTGTGAGAAAGATGATGAGTTAATTCCTCGCCAACATTTCCATTTCCTTATGACATGACCAAATAAATAAAAGTTATTCACAACTCTGAAATATTTGAAACTTTCAAGCAGGTAAGGATGAGTATACCTTTGTTGGATGTTATTAAATAGGTACCTTTCTTATGCTAAATTTTTAAAAGATCTATGCATTGTAAAGAGAAAACTGAATGTGAAAAAGAAAGCCTTTCTAGCCGAACAAGTAAGTGC